TTGACAGAGGAGTCGAGAGTTGCGCGAAACAGAGCATCGTTAGCTCTGAAGAACGCACTCGCGGAACTCCAAAACAACAGATGGAATGCAGCCTGTGCAGAACTAGAGACCCAGGATGGTACGGCCTGGTCTATGCAGCGAAAATTTCGTCGTCAGCGCACCACGATCCCCACTCTTCACGGCCAACGCGGCTTGGCCTACTCCAGTGAAGAAAAAGCCGAAGCATTCGCCGATTCGCTAGAATCCGAATGCAGACTCAATTACCATGAAGACGAGGACGACAACCACGAGGAGGCCGTGGAAGTCGCAGCCGAAAACATGAGGAGTCGACCACCTGGCCAGGAGACGGATCACCCCTCCAGTCCAGAGGAAATCCGTCTGATCATCCGCAGGTTGAAGGTCAGAAAGGCGCCGGGAAGGGACGGCATCAACAATAGGATGCTGAAGAACCTTCCCACCAAAGGCATTGCTGCGCTCACCAACATCGCCAATGCCACTCTGAGACTTAACCACTTCCCGCGGCGGTGGCGGGAAGCCCAGGTTATAATGCTCACCAAGCCAGGCAAGGACCGGAAGTTGCCCCAGAACTACCGGCCCATCAGCCTGGTTTCCTCGGTGGGCAAAGTAGTCGAAAAGGCTATCGCCGTTCGACTAGAGAAGCAGGCAGAAGAACTGCAACTTCTCCCCCCAGAGCAATTCGGCTTCAGATCCTCCCACAACACGGAACTCCAAGCGCTACGACTGACGGAAAACATCACCAGCGGCTTCAATCTCCAGGAGGCAACCGGTCTCGTCCTGCTGGACGTGGAACGAGCCTTCGACCGAGTTTGGCACGATGGACTCATCGCCAAAATGGAAGCCGCCGGAATCGATGCGAACATGTGCCAACTGATCCAGAGCTATCTAACACAAAGATGGGTTCACGGTGAAGATTGGTACATGCCATTCAACAAGACGTCAGCTGGAAGCAGGCGTGCCCAGGGGTCAGCCTTAGCCCCCCTGCTCTACAACATCTATACTTACGATGTGCCGAAGACAGCTGACACAATGCTAGCCCTATATGCAGACGACACTGCTATAGCCGCCAAGCATAGACGACCCGAGATCATCCGTAGGAGACTACAGGGTGAACTGGACCAAATTCAGGACTGGTGCGTGAAATGGAAAATCCGCATCAACGTCCAGAAGACGCAGGCAATCTTCATTCAACGAAGAAGGATT